CTTCCATGCGGTGATGTATGTCTTGGATTGGCCTCTGGTTTGTGTGCCTTATCTTTGTAACAACAGTGCCATCGCACGAGTCCACACATTATGAACAGAATCAACAGCAATACCAGGAATCCCAAGGCTATGAACTCAGAATATTCTTTCAAAAACCCTTCGTTTGTCTGTAGTTCTCGTGAGGCATCCCTTTTGTGTATTACATGAATGACATATGCATTTGTGTCCACAATTAACAATTGGGATACGACTACAAGAATAACCAATTGAGACAACTGTCCATTCATTTTATAACTACTTTATTGTAGCAGTCTTTTGGTGTTTATTACAATTACCAATTCATTTAAATGTGTTCATAATCTCGTGCCTATTAATGTGTTATTATTATTGTTGAGTCAATTATTGACACTTTTCATTACATTGGATTTGATTTTGTTTGTGTTTTAATGATTTACTAATAAATAGTAATATTACTAATAATATAACCGGGAAAATATAAAATTTATATTATAAATTAAGTATTAAAATCCTGTTTACAGATTAAAATAATGTTTTCGTTAATTTAAACAATGTTTTATTTTAATAAATTCTTACATAACTTTACATAACATCACATAAATGTTTATTAATATAAATATCAAATCATTATATAATATATACAATATTATAAAACAAATATTTTTATCAACTTATTAAATTGATTCTCAAAATAATTTAAATTTTGGCAACTCTTATAAGACAACATTTAATAAAACACTAATATAATTATTAAATATAAAATGCGAGTACATTGGTAATTTTATATTCTGTACGGCACAGTACAGCCACTATTAAAAGTTGAACACAATTTTTATTACATTATCTCAATATTTATGTTTAAAAATCTCTTAAAATAACCATTAATTTTATAATATTAGACTAAAAGTACTTATTTACAGTAATGTAGATCCAAAATAATATTTTAATGCTTTTAAAAAATTATAAAACTCTAAACCGTAAACCGTTTATTAAGTTATGGGTAATAAAAGGAGAGTTTTTGAAACTTTCATTAATTCATTTTCAATTCATTAAGACTTTCTCATAAGACTTTTTAATGGCTTTAAAAATATCATCAAAAACAATAATAATAGTCATTAGCTTGTAATCAGTTTGGAATCTGATTTCAAATTATTATATTAAAAAAAACTTTCATAAATATAGACCAAAAAAGAAAATAAAATACAAATTTGAGACAAAATTAAATTGCATGAAATGAAATGAATGGCGAGAATTGAGTTACAAAAAATGATACCTTTCTTATTGAATACACCGAAAAGTATCGCTAATACTGTACAGTATATAATATCTTATACTTTTGTCTTAATTTCGAAAAAATAGATCAATAAATCACTAGAAATTACAGTCATTTTAAACGGTATTTGTTAATGAATTCAAAGTATGGTTTCATTGGTTGAAGTGCGGGGGCCGTTGACCGCCGAATACCTGGACGAGCACTCCCTGTGCGATACGGACGCCGTGTAGTTGTTGTAGAGAAAGAGGTCGGCGAAGGTCTGCCTAAACTGCTTAGACATTCCGCAATAAATGGCAAAATTGATGGGATAGGAGAGTATGATGAAGAAGTTGGTGAACAGGACAGTGGTATTAAGCGAGTCGTACTCTGCTATCTCGATGGCCATGGCGTTTTGCATCACATGTAATAGTGTGGTGACCGCCAGCGGGATCTCCAGCATTAGGAACACCGTTACGATCACTATCAGCATAATTGTGGTGGAGTTGGAGTCCCGGAGTTTAATGCATTCAGACTTTCGGTTTTCGTTAAACAGTTTCTCGCGTTTTCGTTGCGCTTTCTTTAGCGCCCGAAACAGTAATACATTTAACAGCACTAACAGAGCACAGGGACCGATGTGTACAAACACTATGCGAAAGCCGTAGTACAGTATGTAATACATGTCTTCGCCTAAACTTTCTCTCACCTAAAAGTGAAGATGAGATTTATGAATATTTGGTTATTTGTGTGAATATTGTAATACAAACCCATTTCGCGGTCTCAAACTGACAGCCCGTTCGTCGAGTGTTATTCCAAACGAACTCAACGGTCGTGAAGTCTCTGTCGGCAAATCGGGTGCTTTGGTGGCAAAAAGCCATTATAAATATTAATACCATTGCTTTACATACGCGGGGAACTGTACACCATGTCCTGGATGTTGTCAAATGACACACATATATATACCTAATAAGACAAACATTGGTATTCAAATAAGGTTTAGTACTTAAAAAACAAATATTCTTGTGGTAGACATAAGGAATAAATGACATGTTTTGGTGAAACTTGACACAAGAATTAATCATAAGTTATAGACTTTTACCCAATGCAAACATTGTTGACATAATATATCATTTTTTCTTATTAATAGGTAATAGGATTTGTTGTAACACTTACAATACCTCTTAATTTATAAGATAATAAATAGAGTTTCATAAATGAGTTATTTATTATGTAATGTTTTGTGTTAACTATTTTTGTCCTAAACCTGTGTTTATTTGTATACAAAACATATTTGTTAATATGAAAATATTTGTGAATATTGCACATCATTAGTGTAGTATGTTTTTAATAAAATATTCTATTTAATTTATGTGTCCCAGAATAATTAAATATTTGTATATTGATCATTTTATTATATAATATTTAAATCTTTGTTAAACCAAATGACATTTAAAGAGAAACCATTTGTCAATGATTTAATCCAATTGCAAGTCTAATATTCAAAACTTGTCTCTAATTTGTTATATAAATTATAAATTGATTTGAGTTTAATAGTCCATAAAAATACATCAAAAAATAAAATACAAAAAATACAATTACGAAAAGAAAAGGTCAGACAGACTATAATCTGATGGACATTCTCTCTGAATGTATTATATTGTAAACTATTGTCTGACATAAAAATCAAACATTTCTCTCCGTTAAGAACTAAACATTGAATTTGTATTTGAGAGCAATGGTAAAAATGTGAGATAATAGCAAATATGACAACAAAATTCCGGTACAACTCATCGAATAAAGTATTTTATTAACTATTTATTTGAAGAAAAGTAATTTATTTTGAGGTATTTCATAGAAACTACTCTTTATTATAGAAAAGTAGATTCATTTTGTGTTTATTTGGTTTTATAAGAGCTAGTTTTCTTTTTATAACTTTATTTAAATCCATATATGGTTTGTAATTCATAATACATAATTGTAAAATATATTGAAATTCTTGATATTACTATTTTGTTAGCATTTTTAGTCGACTGGAATTCAAACTAATCTGAAATTCTTGTCAAACAATCTGTTGTTGGCATTCAATTAACTTATACTGTATATGTTGACCGCATAAGCATTACATTTATTAATCAATTTCCGGTCACTTGTTTCACAACAAACATTACATACCAAAAATAAATTGTTTTACAGTATTATATAAATCCAAAAATTTGCAATAATATCACTATGCTAATATAATATTATTGGACCATAACTAATTAAAAAATATTTTACTAACACAGGTTTCATTAGATTTGTGACAAGTGATGAGTATATAACCTAGGTATGTATTATGGGGAGTGGTATCTGATTGTAATTAGTGGTGGCAAACCTCTGTCCGGCGAGAAGTAGTGTCAGCCAAATGGAGGCCGTGTGGAAGAATGCGGGCAACACTTCGATCATAATATGGTAGGCATAACAGGCACTGGGAGGGTAGAGGACCTTGTCGTGATTGCCGAACGTGTACATGTAGAAGTACCAAGGTGCCGGGAACAGTAGCGTCAACAGGTCGGCAATGGCCATGGCTAACAGCACCAGATTAGTGGGCGTTCGCATATGGTTTTGCGCCAACACTATCACAATCAATGTGTTGGCGATTATTGTGATGATTAGCAGGAATGGCATAATATAGCCAAACAGCACAACCGCGTACTTATAGGGCACTTCTCGGGTGATGTTCACCAGAAATGGTATTTCATCCCTGTCCACAATTAAATATTGTTTAAAATTAATTCATAGCATAGACATGTGATATTGAATTTTTGTTTTTATCAATTTAAATTATTTATTAAATCTAAAGTAACATTGAATGTTATGTCATGTTATGATAATAAATTAATAAATAGTTATGCATTTAATATAAATTCCACAAATGGTTTCATTGTATATACAGTACTAGTATATTGTATGATAAATAGTTTACAGGATACTATATTTTTAAAATATCATGGCATTCAATACAGTGGGCGACTCAAAGTTACCGATTATTTTGGCCTTTAGCGTAAAAACTGTCTATTTGTCCTGTATTTAAATACTTATAGACATAAAATTTTAAACAAATATTATATTAATAGAGATGAGAAAAGAAACAAAAATATTTAGATATTTAACCTTTTATTAAATACAATACATATTAGGGATTTATACTACAATTAAATGAATACAACGATTTAACTTTTAAAAAGATGACATTTTTGTGAGTATAGTCAACAAATTAAAGTAATTAGTAAACTATAAAATATTGAAGAAACTTTTGATGTCGCAAATATTGTATGAAATAATATATATAACTTTATAAAATCATTAACATTATTTTTTGTTATATAATAATTATATTAATAAATAGATAGTATAAATAGTTAATAATATTTGCTAATATAATTTCAATGGTGGTTTGAGTGTTTTTACGATAGGCGTTCCCCAGTTTTATCACTCATTTAATTAATATTTTATTTTCTTTGCTGCAAACAAATTATTATTTCATAAAATTCCTTAAATAGGAGGAAATAAAACTATTTAAGGAGTTTATCTATGTACTTTTCATGATAAATCCAAAATAAACTTCCATGTACATTTATTAATATTTTATTCTTAGGAACACTTGGTTTTGCAACAAGGTTCTGGTGATTGTAGTCTTTTATCGTTTAATTTTCTATGATATTCAAAACTTTGTTATTGAATAAAAAGTGTCACATCATTTTATGTAATGAGGTGATAATT